TCATTCTATTAAAGGAGTTGAATTTATCTTTTTTTCTCTGTTGATGTATAATAAAAAACATTTAGAAAGAAAGTTACATCTAAATCAATAGCTTGCTTATTCCCCGGCTCCCAAATAGTACTTGTGTTGACTCAAGTAGTCTTTTCTCCTGGAGAAAAGTGAGACATGAATCTGAGAATGCTACTTGTGAATGGCTGCTTCCTCAGAATAACTGCTTAGTGATTCATCTAAACATAATTATCCTACCATTATACACTCATGTTTGCAAGTTAAAGCAAAAGATGATTTACGTGGAAATTGTGACTTTTATGTTATTTCCAAGCATAATGCATCAGTTTATAAAATCCTCCCAATTACTATGTTGATGATATTTTGCTACACTAAGAAGCATTTGCTAATAAATAAGAGCTGATTTTTGTGACAATAATTTTTGTAGTATTGTGGTGTTATTATAAAAACCTGTTCTGTAACATTTCAAATATAATACAAAGCAAATTTTATTGATTGCTACTATTTGCTTTAAAAATTTGTTAAAAGTTGCTTAAACACATATATTTTAGGTAAAACACTTCCTGGTTGCTAAATTCTTAGAATCTACAGTAACCTGAATCTAATATAACTACCCAACTCCCCTTTTCACAACTTTCTGTGTTTTTCTTGAACTCTACTGGGTAAAAAATCCTTTTTTATAAGATTTCTTAATTTGAAAAGTAAAATGACTGAGTGACGGAGATACAGTGAAAGATGGGGGAGAGAGACAGAGAGAGAAAGAGGATATCTTTCATCCTCAGGTTCACTCTGCAAGTGGCAGCAATGGCTAGGGTTGGTCAGGCTACTACATTTGGGACAAGAACCATGTACAAGTCTCTCACATGGGTGGCAGCCCCAAGCACTTGGCCACCATCCATTGCCTTCCCAGGTGTATTGGTAGGAAGCTGGATTGGAAGTGGAGCAGCTGGCACTCTGATATGGGATGCCAGCATCACAAGCAGTAACATAACTGGCTATGCCACAACACTAGGCGTCTTGGGATTTTTCTGAAAGTACCATCCTATTTCACCTTAACAATTTTTGTCTTCCCACTCTTACCCTGCATACTTCTTACTCAGCCTTCAAAACGCATTTACGGGCTTATCTACAGAGGGAAGTGTACCCCAGAGCCCCAGCTAGTATAAACTGCATTCCTCTTTGCTCTATAATGCTCCTGGCTTCATCTGAGTACTTACTATCACATAGTATTTTTATTATAATTACTTGTGTATTTTTCTTTTATTTCTTTTTTTTTTCAGTATGTCACATTTCCTTTTTTTTTAATTTTTTTTAACTTTTATTTAATGAATATAAATTTCCAAAGTACGATTTATGGATTACAATGGCTTCCCCCACATACCGTCCCTCCCACTCACTACCCGGCGCCGCGGCTCACTAGGCTAATCCTCCACCTAGCGGCGCCGGCACACCGGGTTCTAGTCCCGGTTGGGGCGCCGGATTCTGTCCCAGTTGTCCCTCTTCCAGGCCAGCTCTCTGCTGTGGCCAGGGAGTGCAGTGGAGGATGGCCCAGGTGCTTGGGCCCTGCACCCCATGGGAGACCAGGAAAAGCACCTGGCTCCTGGCTCCTGCCATCGGATCAGCGCGGTTCGCCGGCCGCAGCGCGCTGGCCGCGGCGGCCATTGGAGGGTGAACCAACAGCAAAGGAAGACCTTTCTCTCTGTCTCTCTCTCTCACTGTCCACTCTGCCTGTCAAAAAAAAAAAAAAAAAGACTATAATTTTTCTTTTATTTCTAATAGAAAATAGACTTTTCAGGGGAAGATCCACAACTTATTTTTCTGGTTTTATTTCCTTAAAGAGCGCTCTTTTCCTTTTACATCTTCCTAAGTGTTTAACTCAGCTATCTGGAGACCCTGAAATAGATTTACAATACTACCTAAGATACTTATCTTTGGAGGGGGCACCAAAACTTACATGGTTATGATTTAATGTAAATAACAGAATTTCACTACATCTGACTTAAATAAATGAGAAATGCAATTTGTATTTATTTTTGTTGATGATATTCCTTTGTCCAATCCAGCCTGTTAACTGTAACTTAATGCCATTGTTTCTTTCTTTCTTTCTTTCTTTCTTTCTTTTTTTTTTTTTTTTTTTTTTTTTTTTTTGACAGGCAGAGTGGACAGTGAGAGAGAGACAGAGAGAAAGGTCTTCCTTTTTCCCATTGGTTCACCCTCCAATGGCCGCTGCGGCTGGCGCACCGTGCTGATTCAAAGCCAGGAGCCAGGTGCTTTTCCTGGTCTCCCATGTGGGTGCAGGGCCCAAGGACTTGGGCCATCTTCCACTGCCCTCCCGGGGCAGTGAGGATGGACTGGAAGAGGGGCAACCGGGACAGAATCTGGCACCCCGACCAGGACTAGAACCCAGTGTGCAGGCGCCGCAGGCGGAGGATTAGCCTAGTGAGCCACAGGGCCAGCCAATGCCACTATTTCTCATTCATCATCAAAAATCTTATTCTTTGCTAGTAATGTCCTTCAATCCTCTTTGCTCTGTTAATTTCTGGTTTCAAAAGCATACCTAAAGAATACCTTACTGTTTGCTGACAGTACTTTTTTCCCTGTTGGGTAGGCAAAGTCAACAGCAGCCTAAATATTTTGCCCTGGAATTCTATCTGCTGCCTTGCTCTATATTTTCTGCTTCTGACATAATTAAGTAATCAAAATTTTCTGTTTCTGACATCATTAAGTTTTTAAAATTTTGTTCTTTGAATACCAGGTGGCCTCCTCTATGGCACGCAAATATCCTTGGGAGGAATATCACAGTCTGTCATTAAAAACTTATGTTGCTGATTCCCTTTGTCACATGTTTTCAAACAACAGTACCTTGTGAGACTGGGAAAGAGGAGGAAGAGGTGATAAATAAGCAAAATAGTCAGATGGAGAGCAAGTCAGTGCAACAAAGACTCAGGTGTTGATTCTCTTAGCACTGACTTGAGTCACCATGTCAACTTGTCTGAGTTCTATAACCACACTGTGTTCTACTTTTTGATCTGTAATAGAGAATAACAGTACTTCATCAAGAGCTGTTGGGTGAATTTCATAATAATTACAATAAAGTCCTTTTTTGAAAAGATTTATTTTTATTTATTTGAAAGACAGAGTTTCAGAGAGGCAGTGACAGAGACAGGGGTCTTCCATCCACTGGTTTACTCTCCAAATGGTCGCAATTGTTGAGAAAGGGCCAGGCCAAAGGCAAGAGCCAGGAGCGTCTTCCAGGTCTCCCACGTGGGTGCAGGGGCCCAAGGACTTGGGCCATCTTCCACTGCTTTCCCAGGCCATAGCAGAGAGCTAGATTGGAAAAGGAGCAGCTGGGAATAGAACCTGGCGCCCGTGTGGGATGCTGGTGCTCTAGGCCGTGGCTTTAACCTGCTGCGCCACAGTGTCAGCCCCAGTAAAGTACTTTTTAAAATGTGCCAAGGGGTACCTTGAGGAACACTACCAACTTAAAGGAAAGGAGTGTTAAAAATATTGATATTTTCCCCTTAAACCTTCATGATCTTTCCTTGATTTAGGCTTGCAAATTGAATGAGATCCATCTCACTCTATTAATGAGGAGGTGGGCTGTGTCTTGTCAGAGTCTTCCTGCAGAATACATGGACAGAATGATCTGTAGTATGTAGTCTGGCCAACTCCGAGCTAGCTCTGTGATGAGGAGGCCTCAAACGTTTCTGTTAGCCTCCATGACGTTAATCAGTGAAGGAAAAGGAGGAAAGAAGACATCGTGTTTTGAGAATAAGCCACTCTATTCTTATGGGAAGAACATAGACGCAATAGGATCTGATGATAGGTGACACACAATAAATGACATGTTGCTTTCAGATTTTATGGGCTAAGCCAATGGTAATTTGTGTGTTCTCTTTGCAATTATGTAGCCCATTGGAGAAGTCCTAAGATCCAGAACTACTGGAGAAGTTCCCAATAGTAACAATTAAGGAAATATAAGCTTTAGGCAAAATAATTGTTTTACGTGCACTCTCTCATTTACTCTTCTCAAGAAGATTAAGAGTAAAAATGGATTAGGTTTCCTTTTATGTAAATGACATTGAGACAGAAGACACTTTTCGTGACTTCTTCTTCACCAGTAGATGCAGAGCCAAGAGTCAATCCCACTCTGATTGCAACCTGCATGGTAATCACAATGCTTTAAAGTTGTAGCATAAGTAGTTATGTATTTCTTGAGGTCTTCTTAACCTGGTATGGGTGAGGACTTTAGGTTGAATATCAACTGTGCTATTTATAGCTAACTGAAAAACTTTTTAGAAAAATTATCTGTAGTTTCACCAGGTGCAAAGATTGTTTGATTATCAGTTACTTTTTTCTTCAGGTTTTCACTCTTTATAGAAGAAAAAAAAACACATTTAAAATGTTGGTGGGTTTTCCTCCCTACCAGCTATTTGTGCTATTTTTAAGGCAATGTGAATCCCTGTGTCTCAGAATGTCAACACATTTGCCAAAAATGAATTTATCAGTTAAATGTAGCTAAGAGATTTGGTTTATCTTGGTGTTCTACAAAGAAGAAATAGTTTGCCACTGTTTATACAGATTGAGGTAAATCTGACATATTACTGACATATGCTATAGATTTAATTTAATACCATAGTACAGATATGTGCTCTGATAAGGTTTTATGAAATCTAGGTTAAGATGAGGAGAGTTGTTTCAGTGTTTATGAAGTTGAAGATGCAGAGTTAGCAAAAGAAGCCTTGTAATTAAAACAATATTTTCCTATAAAATGATATTTTCCTATAAATGCTGAGTAAAATGGGGAGGAATTCTAAAACCATGTTCAGTTTTGGGACACATGGAAGAGAATTGGCTGTTTGTTCAGTTTCTTTGTGTTTTCCTTTTAGAACCATGAAAACATAAAATCAATGGTTTCATTTGATTTTGTTTTCTTTCAAAAACATTGATGTGACCGTTTACCTTTAACTCTCTTTAATTATATGTTTTAGGTATCCTGGAGATAACATCAGTGGAGATTGGAGTTGTTGCTGTCAAAGCCATTAACAGCAACTATTACTTAGCCATGAACAAGAAGGGGAAACTCTATGGCTCAGTAAGTTTTCTGCTTTTGTTTTCAAAATCCACTGCAGAATATCATTGGCACGGGTTTTTTGGAATGTTTTCAGACACTGAATAGCTTTATTTTTGTGCTATTGCTAGTAAATAGAGCCACAAAGGGCTGGTCACCAGAGTTTGCAGGCCTTCAAAGCAGCTCTCCAACTCCTTGTTGCTCACCCATTAGTCTACCACACAGGCTGTTGCTGGCATTTGTCTGAGAATGTTCTGAACTGCACCCAGTCTGACTCTGACGGAAGCATCTGGTTAGATTGGCATGAGAGCTGCAGACAACTTGGATAAGAACCATTAAAAACAAAGATCATGAACTGAGTAGAATACATTACATGTGTGTTCCTGCTGAAGCTACAACATAGCCTAGTTGTTTTGTATTTTGTTAAATTAAGAAGTGAACAAACATGTAAAGAAATCATTGTTTGCTGTCTAATCAATTCTATAATATTGTTTACCTACACAATAGTCATTAATCCAAATTGTGTCTGAGCATCACACACACAAGCACACACACACTTATGATATTCCTTGCAACAGAGTCCTTGTGGAGTTGATGTTAAGTCAATGGTTTGGATATTTCCATAATTTTATTCCATGCCATGCCAAGTGTTATGTATCCTGATTATCACCTCTTCAATCTTGGATCAAACTCATTTAGATTCATTTTCTTAGCTAAGGTCTCACTTATAAAAGCCAATAATTATTTTAGAATTATAATTAAATTATAAACAATGTAACAGTCTATCCAGTTTAGGTTTTTAGAATATATCAGTCAAACATATGAACATCTAAATACTGGATACTGATTAAAGGAATATGAAAGAAATATAGAAAATGGGCCTTAATTTCAAATAATTTCTGATGTATTTAGGGAAAAATGTTAGCAAATGTGAAATGATTACAGAACAATTAGTTTTCAAATGTAAGGAAGGACTAGGAACACTTCTTGGCCTTTTGGCTAAGATCAAGTATAGGAAGGACTAGGACTAGTAGAGTAAGCCCATGATAAAGTCAGAAACTAAATTTTCATCTCTTGGTTGCCATTGAATGATGGTGGGAATAGGTCAGTTTAAGAATGCAGATTCATTTCTGATGTCTTTCTCAGAGGTAGATCAAGGAATTGCTAAATGAATTAAATTTTTCTAGATTCCATTCTAAGAAAATACATGATCTTAAAAATTTTAATTGAAAAAAATTAATTTTTAATTTTTTAAAATTTTAATTAATTGAAAAAATGTATTTTTGGAGGATATGTAATATGTATGACTAGAAATAAAACCTGTGAGACAAAGATCATTTTTTCCTACCAATATTTGTGTCATTTTTTAATTTTTCAAGTATGACAGAAGAGTTTCATTGTAAATAAACTTTTTTTTTGTTGGTTAGGATAATTGTGTTGACCCATCCTAGAGCTAATAGCTCTGAGACTTGAGAGGATACATCAGAATCAAAGGGGGGGTGCTTATTAAAACACAGAATGGCATTCCAGTGTGTGTGTATGTATTATATCACCTTTTCTTTACACAGTCATCTAACGATGAACAAGTTGTTTGATTCTATATTTTGGCTATTGTGAGCTGTGCTCCTATCAACGTAGTAAAGTATGTTCATATCTTTTTGGTATATATCTATGCTGGATCATATGGCAAGTCTATTTCTAATTTTTAAAGAAATCTCCATACTGTTTCCCACAGTGGCTGCACTAATATTTATTCCTATCAACAGCATGTAAGTGTCCCCTTTTTCCACTTCCTCACCAGTGTTTGTTGCCCCCTGTCTTTTGGATAATAGCCATTCTGTCTGGGGTGAGGTGATATCTCATCGTGATTTTGATTTGCACTTCCCTGATAACTAGTGATTTGAGCATTTTTTCATATAATTGTTGGCCATTTGTATTTATTTTTTAGAGAACTGTCTATCGAGGCCCTTTGCCTATTTCTTACCTTTATTCAATGTATTCTTGTTATTGTTGAGTTTGTTGCCAACACATTCTGGGTATTAATCCTTTGTCAGATAATCAGCTTACAAATATTTTTCCTATTCTGTTGGATGCCTCTTCACTCTCTTGATCGTTTCCTTTGATGTGCAAAAGCTTCTGAATCTGATATAATTTCATTTGTCTGCTTTTGCTTTTGTTTCTTGAACTTTGGGGGTCTTATCCAAGAAGTCATCATGTACACCAGTGTCTTGAAATGTTTCCTACAGATGTGATGTTTTGTCAAACTTTGTTTGAAATCTTTGTCAAATTGTTAAGAATGATAAACTACTATAGTTTTAATGATCTGTGACTATTTTAAAATTCACCTTATATGAATAAAATAGTCATCTTTTCTTTTGATTGTTTATAGCTCTTGTTATACTTCTGCTGAATTAAGGTCTTTTCACTTTTTATTTATTTAACTCTATTTATTTAATAGAGCAGTAAGCTTTGACTATAATGTAAATTGAAAATATGTTATCTCAGAAAGCAAACAGAATGAAGCTATGCATGTCTAGAGTTTGTCATTCAGTGTGTTAGGGTTTAAGAATTGGCATTTCGGAGCCGGCACCATGGCTCACTTGGTTAATTCTCCACTTGTGGCGCCAGCATCCCATATGGATGCCGGGTTCTAGTCCCAGTTGCTGCTCTTCCAGTCCATCTCTCTGCTGTGGCCCAGGAGGGCAGTTGAGGATGGCCCAAGTGCTTGGGCCTCTGCACCCACATGGGAGACCAGGAAGAAGCACCTGGCTCCTTGGCTTCCAATCAACGCAGCGCCAGCCATGGTGGCCATTTGGGAAGTGAACCAGCGGAGGGAAGACCTTTCTCTCTGTCTCTCTCTCTCTCTCACTGTCTATAACTCTACCTGTGAAATAAATAAAAAAATAAAATTAAAAAAAAAAAAAAAGAATTGGCATTTCTATAATGGCTCCCAGTGTTCCTGATGTTCCTGGTTCAGTAACCCCAAGTTGAGAACCACTGATCTGGACTTAGAATAGTCTTGTATTTTATTCTTATCATCCACTTTTAGCTTTTTAGTCAGGAATTCTTTAGGATGGTCACTTTAGCTATGGTTAATGTTTTTTGCATGGAGGTCATAAGAATTTTAGCTAAATTTTTCTACTCTACATCCCTCCACTAGTGGACCTAGAAAAGTAAGGAATCATTTTAAAAAGTTATTAAATTTAGAAGTTCACATCATAATCACTTTTGAGTCATTGTTTGCTTTTCTTTTCATTAAATATGCTCAGGCATCCCTTTAATCTATTATATCAGAATTACTGAGAGGAACAGGTTTATATTCTTTGAAAAGATACTTATAAACATATTTAGTAAAGAAATAATGATTTAAAGTAAAGTCAGAAAATTTCTCTAATTTTCTCATTACACAAGGTATAGCTGTATAGAAATGTCACATTGTATCTCCTAAATACATACATAAAATTATGTGTCCATCAAAATTTGAATAACCAAGAATACAAAATCAAAAGTAAAGCCAGCTAACACTAATTTAAAGAAAAAACATAAATAATATTAATTGAAATAAAACATTAAAATACTTTTAAACTTATTTAAAATGTGGAGAGCAGCCATTCCACCTGTTGATTAAAATGCCCATGTCTTATATTGGAGTGGCTAGGTTTGTTTTCCAGCTCTGGCTCCTTGCTAATGCAGATTCTACTTTGTAGGCAACAGTCATGGCTCAAGTAATTGGCTTCCTGTTACATTTGTGGAAGACCTGGACTGTGCCTTTGCAGGCATTTGGGGAGTAAAAAAATCAGAGAAGATCATCCCCCCCCCCCATCTATTTATCCTTCTATGTGTATCTCCATCTCTGCCTCTCAAATTAGTGACAAATTTTTAGGTGACATTAAGGGGAAATTGTTAGCTCTCAAATGAACTGTGAGGTAGAATTTTTAATACTCTCCTTGCCATGTCCCAACTTTTTCTTCCATACCAACACAGCTAATGTACTGTTCCTATGGTTCTTCTTGAGCTCTAAGTTCAGTGAATCATTTCAGTCCATCTCTTTATCTAGAGTAAGTGCCCAGATGCTTTCTGTCACATCACACCATTGTAATTATTTGCAGTGGCTCTTATCTGATATTTCTCTCACTAAGGTGTTTATTGTTGACTGTCTTTCCCCAGCAGATTGTTATCTTCAGGAGACCAGAAGCAGCCTTGTCTCCCATTCTATGTTCAGCACTTGGAACCATACAGAGCATAGAATTGTAGGATGCATAAACCTAACTACCTCTCCTAGCAGCACAGCCCATTAGAGGACATAAATTCTCTTTCTGTTTTTGGATTTTGCATTTCTACAAGGAATAGTGAAAATTGTGCCTTATTCAAATTATGAAAAATCTTCTTAAATTGAATGTCCTATTCAAGTGGAATAGGGCTAACAATTTTGCATCTAAGAATATATTATTAAAATTCATGAGCACCTACCTAATCTAGGTCTGTATACCAAGTGACAACTCCTTTTACTTACAAGTTGCATTGATTCCCTAAGTCTCCCTGCAAATCTCAAATATGCAAACACCCAGAATGATTGATTAAACCAGCTCTGTGCATATTCTCTTATTTTTTTGTTTTTTGTTTGTTTGTTTTTGTTTGTTTTGTTTTGTTTTGTTTTTTGACAGATAGAGTTAGTGGAGAGAGAGAGAGAGAGAGGTTCTCCTTTTTCCATTGGTTCACCCCCCAAATGGCCACTACGGCCGGTGCGCTGCGCTGATCCGAAGCCAGGATCCAGGTGCTTCCTCCTGGTCTCCCATGCGGGTGCAAGGCCCAAGCACTGGGCCATCCTCCACTGCCCTCCCAGGCCACAGCAGAGAGCTGGACTGGAAGAGGAGCAACTGGGACAGAACTGGCGCCCCAACCGGGACTAGAACCCAGTGTGCCAGCGCCGCAGGTGGAGGATTAGCCTAGTGAGCCGCAGTGCCGGCCGTGTGCCTATTCTCTTTGTTATACTTTCAGAACAATACATTTATTGCATTCCAAATTTTCTCCTGATTGATGGAATTAGGTACATAAACATTAAAGCAATTAAATGGAATGGATCCTCACACAGTAAGACTCAAAGACCAAAGCAATTTCCTATGTAATTGGATAAAATTTAAAACTGTTTTTCTAAACTACCAAAACTCTGCTTTTGAGAACTTACTCTAGCCTATATTCTTTTTAAATAATAGTGTTTATGAATTCACTGAGATAAAGTAAACAACACAGATTCATGGACTCTTCCAGAGCTTTCAATATATTTGAATTATGGTCCAAATGTCAGTGCACCTAAAATGAGGAGGTTCATACATGTGTATTTCACTTCAAGAGACATTACTCTATAAATTCATTTATGGACAAAAAATAGTTAGAGCTACTCTCACTTTTCTACACACAGCTGTGCCTCAAATATGAGATCATCTGAAATAATTTCAATTATTTATGGAAATGAAATAATTTCAACTATTCATTGAAAGATATAATTATCCATATAAAAAATCCCTCTGCTCTGAATATTACATAATCTTAGACTGAGATGAATTTAAGGAGATAAATAATAATTCAGCAATATGTATTTGAATTTCTCTCCAATATAGGTTTCTTGGTTTTGACTAGAACCCTTGCCTTAAATAATGCACCTTTCTTTCTTAGTTTTAACCAGTTAAGCCATATTTGAATGTTATACTTAAATATTAGAAGAGAAGCACTTAGGACTAACAATTCCAGGAAAGGAAATATAAACTGGTTATATCCACATAAAATATAGCTGCTTGTGATGGTTTTGGTAATGTGCAAAAGTATGACTTATAACATAGGAACATAGATATTTTTATACATACATTTAAGAATTTGGAATTTAGTAGAAGTTTCAAAAGCCCCTAGGTGTGAGAAAGTTCTTAGTCAAAACCCCTCAAAATATGTCCACAATGCCCTTGTTTGGATAGAGAAGCTGGAATCAGAGGAGCAAGAGCTGAATCCCATAGCATCTTAACTGCTTTGAGTTTGAGTTTGAGTTTGAGAGAAAAAGAATGCTTCTGAAGGGAAAGTCTTGAGACCAGTGAGGACTCTCCTCTTTGTTATTACCTCTAGGGTGAGATCATGCATTCATGGAGTGAGGGAGAGGCAAGCCTTATCCCAGTAGCTCTCCTTAAAAACCACTTGACTACTTCCAGCAAAGCCAAAGAGCTATGACTATAGAGAAGGGTTCCCACATTGATAGTCTCCAGGTTTATGTAATACAGACATTGTTATTCATCATGTTTTTATAATTTATTTAATATGACAATTCACAAAACTTTCTGTGCCATACTTTTCAGTCATTCTTAGAGTTCAGAACAAAATCTGCCACAATTACAAGTTATGGAAAATTTATAAATAAAGAACAGAAAAACTGAGAAATTTTGTACTTGGAAAAGAGAAAGACAACGGTCATTTGTAGCTTTATTGTCCTACAGAGGTTTTATGATAAGATCTGATTTCTTTTCAATGTGTGTTTACTTATTGTGGGTTTATAGGTAGAACAAGTTTGTAAACTTGGCAAGCCTAATTTTTTTTGCAGTTCTATTTTTCACATGGTTATCATTATGAAAGAAGGATTTTAATACTTTTTTTTATTATTAGCCCATCACAATTATTGGTAGTGAGATGTCTGCTTCATGGCAATCATTCTAGGTACTTAAACCATGTTATCTTCAAGTACTTTAGCTTTTAAAAAGAGTTCCTGGATGTGGCTATGGTGATCAGTTAAAGTGAATCATGTTCTTTCAGTCATAGAGTCTACTTTATGGTTATAAGTTCCAGTTTTCTGTTGACATTACGTATTGAGTACACAACTTGTATAAAACTGGCATTCATAACACAGAACTTTTGAAATTCTCTAGGTGCTTTGTGTCAAATGGAATCAAGTATCATCACCACAGGAATAAAAGATTATGTGTTTCCTTTGCAGAAAGAATTTAACAATGACTGTAAGCTGAAGGAAAGAATAGAGGAAAATGGATACAATACCTATGCATCCTTTAACTGGCAGCACAATGGAAGGCAAATGTATGTGGCATTGAACGGAAAAGGAGCTCCAAGGAGAGGACAGAAAACACGAAGGAAAAACACCTCAGCTCATTTTCTTCCCATGGTGGTCCACTCATAGAGGAAGGCAATGTTCATGGATGTGGTGGCACCAAAGGCTATTTTGCCAAGGATAGTTGGAATTCTTCATGAAGACAGTAGCTCGAAAGGCAAAGACACATGGCAGAGTCTGCTTGCTTAGACGAAATGAGGCCTTTCAAGGTTTTTGTACTCACTGCTGACATATGATGTTGTTTAAATTAGTTCTGTGTCATGCCTTATAATCAAGATATAGGCAGATCAAATGGGATGGAAGTTATCCCAAGTGAACAATATTGTGGCTGGGTTTTTTGGTTGTTGTTAAGTTTTTGTTTTTATTTTTGAACCTCTGAGACATGGAACAATCTGTTGAATGATCTTTGGGAGTTATTTATGGAATATGAACTCATATCAAAGACTATCCATGCTCATTCAAGCCTAATGATTCAATGAGCAGTAAGACATGCAAGCATTTACTGGAAAGCACTTGGGTCATATCATATGCACAACCAAAGGAGCTTTGGGTGTGGCACCGTGGAAGCATCGGATAGGATGAAAAAGTATAAACATGTTAGTTGAAATTGTTCTAACACTACAAATAGTATGGTATGCTTGTGCATTCTGCCTTCTACCCTTTCTATTTCTTTCTAAGTTATTTATTTAATAGGATGTTAAATATCTGTTGGGGTTTTTAAAAATATCCTCAGAAGCTGCCCTCTGGTTTCCCTTTTCTTTGTCTTGAGCACATCACATGCATGTTCATAACAAAGTGTTTTTAAAACCTGGCAAATACTTCAAAAACAGATGAAATTAGGAAAGCAGTATGAGCGCCCCATGTGCTATCAGGTGACTTGATTTGCACTTCTGCAACGAGAACTGTCAACCATAAAGATGGCAAAGCTGTGCCATGGCTTTTACTGAGAGATGTCTACCATTGTTTAAAAGCACACATTACTCCAGAGGCTTCCTTTTCCATGAAATAGAGCAGAAGGCCAAATCCTTCTCATCAATCTAATTAATTAATCTCATTAATCTCCAAGAAGCTACTAAAAGAAGAAAATTAATTGTTAAGTGCATTTTAGTAGCCTAGCCTCGTTGTTTACTAATGATTTCCTGCCATATGTCAGAGTGGTAAATGATGACGAGGCTTTCTGCACATGGAAGAAACCTTCATATGCCACATAATGCATCTCCCCCAAGGAACCATCAAGAAATTTGGTTTGAAGTGCAACTGTCCCAGGGGCTGAAACTGAGCAAATATATCCTGGCATATGTTTAATCATTTATTGAAACCTGTTCAAGCTGTATGATCTAGTCTTTACATTACCAAATAAAACTTATTTTCTGTAAATTTAAAGAGCTTTAGAAGGTTCCATAACGTAACCGTATTGAAATTCATTTTGTTAGAGCAGGTATAGAAAACAATGCATAAGAGTTTATCGGTCATCATCACATTGTATTCCACTAAATAAATACATAAGCCTTATTTGCAGTGTCTGTAGTGATTTTAAAAAATGTAGAAAAATATTATTTGTTCTAAATACTTTAAGTGATGACTATAAGATTATATTGATGCTGCAGTTTTATCTTTATATTTCTTGTTTTGAAAAGTTTGCTTATTTTTTATTGTCTGGACCCAGTATTTTGGTAGAAGGAAAAAAAACTCACTGAATGTGTCTTTTTACTAAAATATAAGTTCTAGAAAGGTTGGTGTTTTGTGATTCTAACTTATTTGTGTCAATGCTTAACCAGCACTACCAGTAAACCTGTTATTTAAAACTTTGTTTTATTAAGACATTTTCTCATTAAAAACTCATTCCTTCAAAAAGTGGGTACTTCAAAAGAAATGCATTTGAGGTACAGTATTTTGGCTTATGGTTACAGTTGTATTTCATGGTAATTTGTTTCCAACTTGCTTTTTGACAAATGGGATTCTAAAACTGCTTAATTATTGTGGTTGGAATACTATATGCTAAAATTTAGTTGGTAACTAAATCTGGGAATTATAATGTAATGCATTCCTATCGGAACCAGATAACGTATTTCTTTTACTTTGAAATAAAAATGACACCTGACACATGAACATGGACCACCCATAATCAAAATTAAATGTTTTGTTTAACAAATATAGTATTAGATGACCACATTAACAGTAAATAGGGCACAGACTGGATTCTGATTTCACAGAACCATTTAGATTACCAAAGAGACCATGTGTTAACAGTCTTCATTGTAGGACTCAAGACACTAAAACATATAACAGACGTCTCAAAGCTCACAGAGGCCAAAACTAGAAAACAATTCCTCCCTTTCTCCTGACCCCCACTATCAAACAAACACGCCAACAGATAAAGACAGAAATAGTGTGGTAGGGAGTAATGAGAACCCTCTTCGTTTAAAGATGGCATCCTTGCTAAATATTGAGCTATAATTCTAGTCCCCTTTGCAACTACTGAAAGAAAAGCAGCTCCAGCCCTGACTGTTGTAGGTGTAAAAAAACAATAGTGATCTTTAAGGAGCTCTGCCTCTGTAGGAATCATGGGCCTTGGTCTGTCAAGTTAAGGTGCATCAGCCACAAAAAGGTGTCCATCTGGGTGAAAGTCTGAGGAGAGTCCTCATACAGATATAGAATCACTTCTTCTCCTACCTCCCAGAAGGCCGAACGGTATATAGTATGTTACATTTAAATAAACATAATAAAAATGCTGGGAAAAGAAAACAAAAATATTGTCCTTGTTTGTTTTATTAGCCTAAAATTTTACCTTGCCACAGCAAGAGAAGCTCAAGTCTTGTATGCGTGGTAAAATACCCCACAGCACAAACAACAACAGGAAAAAAAACCTGCTCAAGCATTTGTAAGGTTTCTTTAATGTTTTACATGTGTGAGTTGGCTGTCCTTACTCTAATAACAACCAAATGTTTTTGATTTTTCCTAAGTATTCAGGTCCACCTAGTTTACACAGTGGATAAAGAAGAATGAATTGAAAACAAGTATGGCTTGTGAAACAATGGAAGTTTTTTGGAGGAAAGCCAGGAGCCCACAAAATCTGATTTCAAGGGGAGGGAGTAGACCAATGAATTGGATTTGAAAAAGAGAGAGGGAAAAAAATACATCATAACACAAGTTGATTCCAAGGCTCAATAAACTTTGTGGACACAGTTTAAGGAAACCAGAATTAATGTTGCACTGTCCTAAAAATTTGAGTGTTCATTGTGGGTTCATGATTAATCAACACAGTAAAATTTACCTTTTCCATATCAGTGAAGTCTTTAGCAGGTATGCATTTTGTCTAAATAATATATAAAGGAACTTCAAAATAATCTGGAAAATTGAAATAAAGGAAAAGTTTCTTTCAGTGCAGAACAATTTGAAATCTATGCATGGTATTCTATGCATGGTATTCCATAAAATTAATTTTCCATGAACTTTTTGCTATACCATGAAATATGTAGGAAACTTGCAATTAAATACTTGTACATTACACATGATATCTGATAGATAGATAGATAGATAGATAGATAGATAGATAGATAGAAGACAGACTAGTACCATGTTGAAAAAAAGTTCTTGTCTCTTGCATCAGGCAGGGCTTTTGCAACTTAAGCTAAGCAAAAGGATAGAAGAGGCAGATCTTACAAGGATGTTAGGGAAGAAGCAATTCCAAGTTCTACAGAACTGAGAAATGAAGCAATGATGCTCTGCTTTTTCTCAGACACTCATTTCTGTCCATCTCAGATTGGCTTTATTTGATTGGCTGATGTTTGCTTCTAACATACTACTCTCCAATTCCAAAACCTAACACTCCTTTTTCTCTAGATCCAAAATTGGAAGCATTCCTAGATACCACTCTTACTGTTCAAACTTGAGTAATAAAACAGCTTTTAGACCCATCAATATAACAATAGATTTGGGACTTGCGGTTGGTCAGTTTTCAGTTACATGACCACGAAGAGGCAAGGTCCAAATTTCACTCTCCCACGTGATGGCAGCTAGTGAGGAACTGCGCACTAAGGAAAAAGCAGTAGTGGTAAGCAGGTGCAAAACCAAAATGTTGCTAAATACATCTATTTAAATGAGAGTACAGATTTAACCATGTTTCTTTTATTCCTATATTTTCCACTAATTCCAGTTATTCACAAATTTGTTCAAATCAGAGAAATCTAAGGATATTTTTATTTCATAAATGTTTAAAAATGGAAATACAATATTTGTTTTGGTTTAAGCAAATAGTAGAGCTCTAGAGATAGCCAGTCTCATTGTGGTTTTGCAAACTTGATAGGATGATAGGATAGACACACGTTTTCACTGAATAAATAGCTGGTCCTCCTATTAAATATCAACCTATACCACAACATGATATTATAACTATTTCTTTAAATTTATCCCTAGAATGTATACTAGTATTTTCATGTATATCAACATATAGGAAAACATCCTGAAACTCCGATGCCATTTATTTTTAAATTGTAAAATAAAACAGAAAAAAGAAAAGCAAAGCAAAACCTACTTTGTTTCTTTTACTATGTATTATGCACATTTAAAAATGAGTTTAAGGGAAAATTTTATAACTTATATTTCTCCTTCCCTTTGAGGATTAGAGTAAAAAATGATACAAAATGAGATTTCAAATGAATAACCTACTGAAAACATCTTCGTAAACCTCATGTATTAAAAAGAGGACAATCGGCCGGCGCCTTGGCTCACTTGGCTAATCTTCTGCCTGCGGCACCAGCACACCCGGTTCTAGTCCCGGTTGGAGCACCGGATTCTGTCCCAGTTGCTCCTCTTCCAGGCCAGCTCTCTGCTGTGGCCCGGGAGTGCAGTGGAGGATGGCCCAAGTGCTTAGGCCCTGCACCCCATGGGAGACCAGGAGAAGCACCTGGCTCCTGGCTTCAGATAGGCGCAGCGCACTGGCTGCAGCGCACCAGCCGTAGTGGCCACTTGGGGGGTGAACCAACGGAAAAAGGAAGATCTAGGCCGGCGCCTTGGCTCACTAGGCTAATCCTCCACCTTGCGGCGCCAGCACACCCGGTTCTAGTCTCGGTCAGGGCGCTGGATTCTGTCCCGGTTGCCCCTCTTCCAGGCCAGCTCTCTGCTGTGGCCCGGGAGTGCAGTGGAGGATGGCCCAAGTGCTTGGGCCCTGCACCCCATGGGAGACCAGGAGAAGCACCTGGCTCCTGCCTTCGGATCAGCGTGTGCGCCAGCCACGGCGGCCATTGGAGGGCGAACCAACAGCAAAAGGAAGACTTTTCTCTCTCTCTCACTGTCCACTCTGCCTGTAAAAAAAAAAAAAAAAAAGGAAGATCTTTTCTCTCTGCATCTGTCAAAAAATAAAAAAATAAAAAAGGATAATCATGATCAAATTACTGAGATCAAAGAAATTGGTTTCGTTCCTCAGTTCCTCAGTGACTAACAATGAACAGCTCCCTGAGCCTGCTCCATCACAGGAGCTAAAGGCAACAAGTCCCTGCCGAGAGAAAGGCATATACACTGTCCATGCGTGTGCAAGCATTATTTTACAGTTTTATTATCTGCCACAAAGAACCCTATGTTCATTTTTAATGTAGGCAATTGCATCCTCTAGAGATGAGCACAGCAAATAAGAATCAAAACATCCCATGTTCCTCATTACAATCATAAATTGAACATATGCCTTCATACAACTTAGGCAGTGACCCCAGCTGTAGAATAACTAACTACAGTATGGCCTTAACCCTTGTGAAGTTTGGTTTTAATTACCTTATACACATCTGAAATGCCTAAATCATCTTACAATTTTCTGAATTATTTAGTTATCATTTCTGCGGTCAATTTAAGCTGCTGACAATGCAAATATTCTTTGAGAAGTCTTTCAAGGAGAAGTAAATTAAAACCAGTGTTTCATGAGGTATTATAAACTTTAAAAAAGACTGCATATATGGTTATGGGAAACATTAGGGTTAGGGGTCACTTATCAATTCAATTCAATATTAAAAACATTTTAACATCTGGTATTAAACCATCAGTTTTCCCAATGGCTCTTTTTTTAAAGTGTCATTATCAATATCTTTATATCAGTGGTATTTAATCCAATATTTATAAAAATGACATACCTGTTTTTAGAGTGTTTTCAACTGAGACAAACAAAAGAGAAACACAGAATGATGATGAAGTGCATTTCACAATTCAAGCTTACTCTGAATCACAAAAAAATTAAATAGGATTTTTTTTATCAATGGCTTCCCCCCCCATAACTTCCCTCCCACCCGCACCCCTCCCATCTAACGCTCCCTCTCCCATTCCATTCACATCAAGATTCATTTTCAATTATCTTTATATACAGAAGATCGATTTAGTATTTATTAAGTAAAGATTTCATCAGTTTGCATCCACACAGAACATACAGTGTAAAATACTGTTTGAGTACTAGTTATAGCATTAATTCACATTGGACAACACATTAAGGACAGAGATCCCACATGAGGAGTAAGTTCACAGTGACTCCTGTTGTTGACTTAACAATTTGACACTCTTGTTTATGGCGTCAGTAATCTCCCTAGGCTCTTGTCATGAGTTGCCAAGGCTATGGAAGCCTCTTGAGTTCTCTGACTTCGATCTTGACAAGGTCATAGTCAAAGTGGAAGTTCTCTCCTCCCTTCAGAGAAAGGTACCTCCTTCTTTGACATCCCGTTCTTTCTACTGCGATCTCACTCCCAGAGACCTTTCATTTAGAATCTTTCATTTAAATAGGATTTTAAAGTCAATATCAGCAATCATTCCTCCTAATCTCACTCGGACAAATCTCTATATTCCTTTTTCCAGAATGTCCTAAGAAATAGTCAAACTGACATATTTCAACTTCAAGTTAGTTTATGTTTCTCCTTCTCAATTGTAGTTCCAACTGATGTTAAGTAGCTATGTAAGATGTATTTCCTTATTAAACCCAGAAGAGAAAGTCAGACTTTATTTGGACCAATCATCTTTAGCTGCATCAAATGAATAAAGACTTCATAGAGATTATCAAAGGCAATTAGTACTTACTGGGAACCTAGACTTATTGTTACCTTGTACTTTCTAGGTGTTTTTAAAAGATTTTTCTGTTTCTTTCCATATATATAAATATTCCTTAGTGATAACATGAATGATCTCTAAATTATTCAAACCAAATACAAGGGGAGAAAAAGCTAAAAATTTAAATATGGGACTTGTTAAGTCTCAGCACCTTATTGTAATGCAGCTTTATTTGGAAACAGGGTGGTTGCAGATGTAATTAGTTAAGATGAGGTCAGATTA